AACATATTACATCTAATCCCCCATTTTGTATGCAATTACTATTATTCTATAATATAATATTTTTTTAATGCAATGTGTTTGTGTCAGGTCTCACATAGGGTTTCTCTTTTGTGAGCTGAATTTTTGCCACTTAAACTGATCACACCACAACCCTAGATCCCTAAATCCAAAGACTAGCATCTAGTGATTCACATCCAACTTCACAACCTGGAAAAGAAGAACATGTTTGGTAGAAGACTAAACCCATTAGAAGTGTACATACCGAGGATCTTAGTGGAAAAGATCACTTGAGACCTAGAGGATTCATTATAGTAGAAAATTCAAGTGAAGCTATTCAAGACATCGGTAGGTGTATTCGGTAGAAAAGCTTATTGAAGGAAAGAACCGTCTAACCATGGTATTGGTTAAAGTATAAAACTCGAGTGATTGTAGACTGACTTTAGTGGATATTAGGCTTTTGGTGAACCCCAAGTGGTTCCATACGATTTTTCCCAAAAAGAGTTTTCGCACAAACAATTTGTTTGTATTCTTTATTGTTTTTACATATACACTTACAATGTGAGCACACTTGTGTACTATGTGTTTGATTGAATATCCTTATTATCCATAGTTGTGCATCAAGGGCTTGGGTCATTGGATTTGGGATCCCCGTGAAAGATTGAGTGTTGAGTAAAAATTTGATAAAATCAATACACTAATGTTAATGGGTTCAAGGGTTCGTTGTTGTTAAAAAGGGGTTCTCACTATTAATTTATTAATCTTTGTGAGAAGAGGTAATTGTGATAGTAATATGTGTAAATTAGTGTTTGGTCAAGCATAAAGTTTGAAAACTTATTATTCATCCTTCCTCTAGGCAGTGTCGTGCAATCCACATGTATAATCGTAAAGGAAAATTCACTTCATATCTTTTCCTCCCAAAACAACATTATTCTAAAAAGGCCAATAACATAAAGTCAAATTTTTTTTTGATAATTTAAAATAAAAAAAAATTAAGAAAATTGGGATGGGGTTTTAGAGCTCATCTGAGTCAACTATATTACTATATATTAAGTAGAGATAGATACATTATTCTTATTAGGTTATCTCCGCTTCTTACTCAAACCCTTACTCAAATTTAAATTTGAGTAAAATTAGACTAAAAACAAGCTCTAGTCTTTGATTCAAACATATACCAAATGAAGGGAAACTCAACTTTTTACTCAAATCAAGCAAAACTCAAATATTTATTAAAAGTTTCAATGGTCAGATTTCACCATTTTAAAGATCAAATAACCATATTTTACCTTCTTTTAAGTTTGAATTTATCCATTATAGTTTCTTGTATCAAATCAAGCATTTTATTCATTTTTTACTCAAATTTGTGTTTGAGTTTGTGTTACCATAGGAGATGCCCTTATTGCTTCTGCATCATATCAAGGGATTATGCTAGTTCTTATGGACTCAATTTTACAAGAAAGAATTAGGTTGCATTCGGGCCAATGTATTGTCCTAAAAGAACGAATTAGATAACAACTTAATTCACGCATCTTCTTAGGTTGCATTTTTTTTTAATTTTTTTTTTTTAGGGGAAAAGGGAAAGGCGAGGAGAGACTTGAACTCTTGACCTCAAAAAGGTAAAGTTTGTACAAGACAAGGAGTACTATTAGATCAAAAACTCATTTGTAGATTTCATTTGAGCCAATATATCAGGCTCACTTGCAACTACTAATAATTTGAAATTTCTTTTTTTTTTTGTTTAGAATTATGACTCACTTGATTCTATTTTCGAATAACTAGGCATTCCAATATCTACATTGGGCAGATTCACAACTTCCAAAAATTTTAAAATTCTTTATTTTTTTCAGAACCATTAATGATTTGATTCTATTTTGTATATGTAGGCACTCTAATATTAGCACTAAGCACAGTCACAACTCCTAATATGCTCGTTACTCCAAATTTAAAAATTAATGGGTTATATTGTAACACCCCAAAACACACCCTGGGCGGCATTACATTCTTAAATCATTCATATCATGAGAGCACTAATATAATCCCTTAAGAAACTAAACTTCATTTGTCATCCTCGAATATTTACTACATTATCCAAAAGAATAAACTCAAGTCATAGCTATTACATTTCAAAAATTAATTAAAGAAGCGCAACGGAATAAACAAAAGAAGCTAGACTACACAATGTTCCAAAAGAGTGTCCTAGTCTAGTACAAAAGGAAAGGAGTTCGCTCTATGCGTCCACCTCAGGATCCACACTCCCATCCAGTGGAGTCTGCCAAGTAGCGGGCTCCTCGACCCTTACGTCCTCCTCCTCAAGCGGGTAATCTGAAAAATGTTAGCGATAGGGGGTGAGCACGAAGCTCTGTAGAAAATTTCTCTCAAATCCATACAAGATTTAGAAAAGCATTTAAAACAATCGGTCTCAATTTTAATATAACATAGATACATAATTTGAAATAAAGCAGTGACATTTAAAAAGGATCTCAAGTTTATTTAAAAACATTACTTAAATGAATAAACGAGCACCACATACAAATAATAACCATTAATTGTCATAACCAATTCCCAACAATTCTTTCGGTAGGTGGCATACTTTGTGGTAACCTCCACCCCCCTTTAGGTCACCTTTGATTCTCAAGCATCCTTACCGGGAACCTCTTGAGAATGGATGAGCATCCTTACATGGAACCTCTCACCAATCACTACATTATTTCCCAAGCATCCTTACCGGGAACCTCTTGGGAAGGGGTGAGCATCCTTACAAGGAACCTCTCACTCATGTGCATCACAAACAACCCAACCAAGCATACAATTCCAACATTTATCTCAATTTACAAGCATCTATCCAAAATTCCCAAAATATATCATATAACAATTCCACAACCAACTAAGAAAATACATGAGATCACAATAACATCATTTTTCTACCCAACACAAAGCACTAAGGTTTCGAAATCCATAATAAAGAAAGCATTTAGGAAGGAAATACATCACTCTCCAAAAATTAGGGTTTTAAAACTAGAAAGGAGATTTCATGGGTATTAAACCCTACTTTGTTCAAAACATGTAATCCTTGCAAAAAACCTAAGAGAGGATGATTCCATAGCATATATATACCATTGATAGCCAAAACATACATATATAAATACCCTAGCCTCAATGTAAGTGAATGAGAGAAAACCCCTACCTTGAATCCTTAGCTTTGGAGTGAAGAACAAGAATATTTGATCTTGAATCACCCTTGAATCTCTTGTTTTTCCCTTCCTTTCTTCTTCTCTAATGCTCTCTAGGGTTTCAAGAGGTGTGGGGGTGTGAGGGGAGTGAAGGAAATGAGAGCAAATGAGATGAAAATGAGTTTAAAACATAGTAGCCCCGAAAAACACTGTTCACAGGCTGTTTTGGGTTTCTCCAAATTTACGGTTTTGCCACTAAGAATCTCCAATTTGATCCATATGACTACCCTAAGGTTTTTCGACGTTCCGGATTCATTTTTAATGTTATTTTAACCTAAAAACATTTATTTTTATGATTTATCTCAAAACTCAAGTCAACGTACACCCGAAACACTAAAGTTTCTATTTTACCCATCCGAATCGGCTATTAATGAAGTTTTGCGATGTTTGCAAATAAAAGGTGATAAAGGGTGTTTCTTAAAGCCTTTTATACTTATTTGAAGCCTAAAAGTACTCATTATTCTTATATTTTGATTTAGGATGCAAATGGAGACATTAAATGCAAAACGAAGCTAATTGGACTATTTCGACATCATTTCGTTATCTGAGCATAACTCTCTCATCCAAGCTCCGATTGAGATGATTCAAGATGCTATGGAATGATACGAAAGAGCTCTAAAACTTTCATGTTTTGAGTTTTGAGAGATATTGACTGCATCAAGGTCTAAATCGAGCTTGAAGTTGCAGCAGTGCACTGTTCACAGGCTGTCTTCGTCCCTTTTCCATTTCCAATCCATTCCTAAGCCAACCAAATCCATCTCAAACCTCTCCAACACATATTTCTACACCAAACCTATTTAATACAAGTTCTAGGACCTAAAATTTCATATTTTCACTTATTAAAACCAAATTTCAACTATTATTTCCACTAACATTTTAAATCTCTACTTTTCCAATCTACCAAATTCAAACGCACATCACTATACATATTCACATTTTTACCACAATTATTTACTATATATCTATATACATATATAAAAGAAAATGCGGGGTGTTACATATATATTTATTTCAAACATGTTGAATTTTTTATTCATTCAAGATTAATGAGTTTTCTACGTGCTGATCTTACTCAAAATAATCACAGCCACCATCCCATTAAATTAATTGCAGCGAGTTATTTATTTATCCAAAGGAATGACACCATTTTTGTCATTTGAAGTCGCAACAAAGGCCAAATGAACTAATTTTGCAGAATTTCATTTACGAGCACATAAATATGGTTAGGTGATTTTGTCATGATGGAGTCTTTTTTTGCATACCCATAGAATGCTTGAAGTGCATATTAGACAATATTAATTATAAGCAGTATGATTACTCAATTGTGACTTAAATGTCATCTGTCCTAGTTATGAAAAAAATCTTTTTACATAAAAAAGCAAGACTATCGTACCTTAGACCCTGCATTAGCACAAACCTCATTATACTATACTACTATCAATTGCCATACAAGAAATTTTATGAGTTATAACATGAAAAAGTGGATGCCCTACCAATGGAGACGGTATCCAATATTCTTGCTTGTAAGAGGTGAAAGTATAGCAGTTAAGGTCAACCAAAGGTCTATAGCTTGCTCCTTCTGTTTTTCTTTTAGTACATATATGGCTTGCTCTTTCAAGCAAATGGCTAGGATTCTTCTTATCATATGCCACTTTAAATGGTATAAAGCTATGACTTAAATATCATCATTTGTGTGCCTGTTGTTGCTAAAATAAAGGAAAGAGAAAAGACAGTGCGGAAAGGAAAAGCTGAGAAGAGCACATGGAGAAGACCCTTAACTTATGCAACTAACATTTAAAGATGAAAAGTATGAATCAAAGTAAGCAAACAGGACAGGACAGGCAGATAAATCAATAATACAAATCCAAAGTCTCAGAAAAAAAAAAGAATCTGGAAGTTAAAAAATCACCCAAAAACTTCACACTAAATCATATATATGATACAAATTTGCACAACACTAAATGGTTCCCCTCCTTAATTAAAGGTCAGAATTTAGAATGGTGGGCAGCCATAAAATGACGGAGTATTTTTCTCGTCCACGTGGCACCATATAACTTCAGAACAATAAAACTTACATGCCTCTGAAGTAGATATAATAATAGTTCCAATTCAAGGCTAAAGAGGAGCTGGGAGGGCTGCCCCAAAAGCCCCTCATGTTCTAATGATTCTTCACAGGCTGTCAAAAGCAAGCAAATAATGGAGGGGTTGTGCTTGTGGTGGTCACTACAAATGAAAGACATATGCACCAAGCACATGCCATCCCTCAGTCATTTCCATTGTCTGCCCACCTTGCACATGCTCTCTGTCCCCCCACCCCCAACAATACAACTTCCTTTTATTCCTCTCTCAACAATTATCTCATAATCCTAATCCAATCTCAGCTAGTCGCAACGACTAATTAGAATCTTACCACAACAAACGATACAACTTTCTGACACCTCACACAACTAAAGTAATCCAAAAGGGTACTATGTATAGTTAGAAAACCAGAGTTTTTATGGACTCTGGGTCATACTATATGGGTAATTAATTCCTGTGTCATGTGATTATAGAGCATGTGCCTCGGCCGGCAACTGAGACGCCAACCCAACGCACAGAAGGTGTCGTGGGCAGGTGATCAGGTGGTCGTTGGTGAGGCCGGCAACTTGCATAAAGGAGTATATGACTGTCGGTCCGACAAACCGGAAGCCCCTTCTCACCATATCTCTGCTTATGGCCTCTGATTTTGAGGTCTTCACAGGGATTTTATGGCATGATTTGTACTGGGTTCCGATGGGCTTGTGATTCACAAATCCCCACAGATACTTGTCAAATGATCCGAATTTCCTCTTGACCTGAAGAACATGAATTCAGTGTTCATAAAAGACATACAATTTTTTTATGAACCAATAATCATACTATTAGCATTCTAATAAGCAGTTTGCTCATATTTTAAATATCAATCAGCTATGTTAACTAAGCCACGCCAGGGCCATATATGATTAGTTGGATGTTAGAATTAACTTATTGACTTAATTTGATGATCTTATCCATCTTCGATTGGTAGTGAACATAATTTTATATTGGGTTAATGATCAATTCAATGAAAATAATAAATTAAGTCAAGAAATTAGAAGCAAATAGTATTATTGACGATAATGTAATACTTTTTATGAGACAATATAAGGATTTTTGTCCCAAAAAATCTTAGAAGGAGAAAGAACGNTATTGGGTTAATGATCAATTCAATGAAAATAATAAATTAAGTCAAGAAATTAGAAGTAAATAGTATTATTGACGATAATGTAATACTTTTTATGAGACAATATAGGGATTTTTGTCCCAAAAAATCTTAGAAGGAGAAAGAACGAAGATGGAAAGAGGGTAGAAAAGACAGCTAAAATAATATTTTGTTCTATTACCTCAAGAATTCGATTAGAATTGTCCACAACTCCTCGGACCTGGCTTAGATCAATGCCGTAATCAGCACTTATAGATGTTATTTTCTTTTCAGAAAATTTTGAGACGATTTCTGCTTCAAATTCTGAGAAAGCGTCCCTGGCCAAGCGAAAGGCAGAAAAGACTAAGACACTGCTGGTTATGCTTTTTTCAGTGNCAAGAATTCGATTAGAATTGTCCACAACTCCTCGGACCTGGCTTAGATCAATGCCGTAATCAGCACTTATAGATGTTATTTTCTTTTCAGAAAATTTTGAGACGATTTCTGCTTCAAATGCTGAGAAAGCGTCCCTGGCCAAGCGAAAGGCAGAAAAGACTAAGACACTGCTGGTTATGCTTTTTTCAGTGGAAATTTTAGTGATACTTTGGAAACACACCCACCTGAATTCTTGCCGTTTCTTTAAGACAGAAGTCCAATCTGAGCCAACTTGAGCGCCAGTCAACACCAGCAATTCAAACAGCAGCCTTCATAGAACAAGCAAATCAGTCCCAAATCTCAACTAGAGAGAGAGAGAGAGAGAGAGAGAGAGAGAGAGACAGCATANTGAATATTACTAGTTCCTACTAATACATATATCCTAAAATCTAAAAACTAAAACTTAAAAACTAAATAATCTAATAAAATAAAACATAAATCCACTTTCGTAGGCCTCACAATTGCATTTAGCATATGCAACAAGCCTTTAAACCCCTAGATTCCCTCTAGTGGACGAGTATAGTCTCGTGAGGATTTTCAGAGATGATACCCATAAACATCACCCTATGATCAAATATCTGAATAATAATTTTATAACACAAATTGCTACCACAATATAAAAATTATGAGTTACAAACCTTTTTATAAGCACATGCAACGCAAAATATAGATTTCTACGCTATATAAATGTATGCACTTATCAAATTCACATATAAACTCGTGTGTAGTGTGAATTAATTATACCAAGTTAGCAATTTGTCTGGTAATTACCTCTACAACCATCAACTATTCGTCTCAATGTCAAATCTCACTAGATAATTCACTCATAAAAGATTCTCTCAGATTATAGTGACTATTCCCCAAATATCACATGTGAGAAGAAGATATTTAAATCAAAACAAAATAATGCTCACATGTCCAAAAAAAAAAACGTAATCCAAAAGAAAAGGATTTAACATAGTCTCATGAAAGGAAATCAACACATAATATATAAATAATCACAATTCTCTTCCTTATTCACATGAGTCATGTATCCATCAATACACTCTTGAGGTCAGATAAGACTTTATTTAAGGTTGTAATGGAGCCTTGGGATTAGGGCTTTGAAAGGAAGGATATTCAGGAATTCAAATAACTATCTCGAAAGAACATGCACATTACACAACCAATTTTCTTTCCATGACATTTCACTCTTCACCCTTTAGAAGCACAATTTACAACATTTGCTCATATTTTTTTTTCTTTCACATGCTTGCTATTTTTCTCTTTTTTTTTTCCAATTTGTTTTTTCACAGCTAGACATATTGTCTTTCTTTTTCTTTTCAACTTATTTTTTCATTTTTTTAGCAAGACAACTAATGCAAGTATTCACAAGTATGCAAAACTTTTTTTGTTATCATCTTTTCTCACCCAACATCTCCTAAATTACATAAACAATAGAAAACTCAATCTCGGGATAACCAAGGGTAAATGATATTATTTTTTTTCATTGGTTTGATTATTATATGTTGGGTAATAAAAAATAAAATAAAATTTTATTTCAAAGCTCAATCATGGCTTCTAAGGATGATAATATTCAANTAGAGAGAGAGAGAGAGAGAGAGAGAGAGAGAGAGACAGCATACTTATCATCATGGACAGGAACTCCCCATTCTTCATCATGATAAGTAACATAGAGGGGGTCTGCAAAAACAACAAAATGAAGATAAAATTAGATATGTTTTCTAACTTAACTTTTTCTTGCTCATTCTCATCCCCGCATACAATCATAATATAAGTCTCGTTGCAGTAGACTGGTAATTTAACATACCTGAATTAGGTGTGATAAAACTGCATCTCTTTTCCTCTGGAGCAGTTGTAATTGCTGAAGAGTCAAGAGGAACAACCTTCCCTTCATTTTTGCTAAATTTAGTTCTTCCATAATGAGCAATCCTCATTTTTCTTTGCACCTGCATAATTGCAACCTGTTCCCTCCTAGCTTCTGCTATACTTCCCGGTGCCTCGACTATCAAAGAGGAAGAGTACTGCAATGAAGAAGGGTCCATAGAAGGTGCAACTCCACCTCCGCTGCATTTTTTCGATTTCTTCACCGGAATTATAGTTTTGGTGGTGCATCTTGGTGTCAACAAGATCTTCTCAACACTAGAGTTCAATCCGTTTGGATCGTTACTTCGCTTAACAGCAGGCTGTCGGGGTGATTTTAGCTTCGGAGAGATAGGTGGGGTGGTCACTGATGGCTTAACCTTAGTAGAATTTGTAGTCCTAGTCGATGATGACAAAGGTTGAGGTGGTGCAGAAGAAGATTTTGTGGAGGTCTTCTTCAAAGAATTGCGCCTTTCTAAGACTGGCACTCGATTACAAGTTGGCTGAAGGACTGGGCGGCCATTGATATGAGATACAGTTGGAGCAATTTGATCAATGCTACTTCCTTGCAGTTTAGACTTAGAAGAACACATTTCTAAGGATGGATAAGTTGAATGTTTTCTAGCTTATTTTTGTTTTAGTTTTTGAAGAGATGGGAGAAGACGAAATGGCAATGATCAGGTAGAGAGAGGGATGGGAGGGCAATGAAGAACGTGGAAGGAGTTAAGGAGGGGTTTGGGAAGGATGTGAGGGTTTATAAAACTATAAAAGGTGAAGGTGGGACAGGTTTGGGGGAAGTTGAACATGGGGGGGTTGGGGTCTGCCCTACACCCTCTTGTGAGGGGCACTTTCTTTTGTTAACGTGACCACGAGGATGACAGTGACACCATCCTTACTCATTTGGGTTTAGAATATTGTATGTATGTAAGTGTATACAGTATACNGATGATAATATTCAAAAAAATAAGGCTTAGGCTCAAATAATATCAAAGATGACCTAAAATCATATCTCAAGAGCTTTTGATAACACACTTTCCATGCAAATAATTTAAAGTCAAGCAATCATTCATAATATTGGTGTAGACCAAAATAAAAATAATCAGACTATTGAAGGAGATTAGCTGAATAAAAATATTTTTTATTGAGTAAATGTAAATAACTCTCCAAGAAAAATTGAATCAAAACTCACCAGAGTTTTTATGCATCTCCACTATATGTTTCAAGTTCTCAAGGTAAAATACCTAACAAATTTTCAACTTGGTAAAGTCTAAAGTGCATAAATTGTGAGTTTTTATAAGAACATGATATGAGATACAAAAATATAGAATAAAGTTCTATGTAATACTTAAACAATTGCAAATTTAAAGTTACGCAAATTATTTCTGTATTGTGGTGTTAATTTATGCATAAAAATGTTATCTAAATATTTAATAACCATTAATTAATTTTTTTTAGCAAAGTAAATAAAATAAAATAAAAACTTAAATTAAGAATTTTCACAACACAAAACATACCTATACCCCCCAACTTAAATCCAATATTGTCCTCAATGTAAAAATAAATATCTTAATGCTCAATAAAAATAATGAATAAATATCAAAGGGATAGGAATACCTGGTGCCACAACAACTCTAAAACTTAAAAATAAAAGACTTAACAAAAATAAGCAAAATGTTAAATAAAAGAAAATGTTATACAACAATTGTGTTGATTGTTTGAGATGAATCATTCATATCGAGGATCCACCAACCCAATGGATTCCACTTCAACTATATCGTCTTCCAAAAATGGCTTCAATCGTTGTCCATTAACTTTAAAGGTGTTCCCATTATTGGGATTTTCAATCTCTACTGTTTCATATGAAAAAACTTATTTAACAATATACAGGCCACTCCATCTAGTTCGAAGTTTTCCTTTGAAGATATGTAGTCTAGAATTATATAAAAGAACTTTTTGTAAAGGTGAANCCATCTAGTTCGAAGTTTTCCTTTGAAGATATGTAGTCTAGAATTATATAAAAGAATTTTTTGTAAAGGTGAAAAATTTTTACGCAAAATATTTTTATCATGGAACACCTTCATTCGTTCTTTGTTAATCCTAGAATTCTCATAAGCTTCATTCCGAATCTCCTCAAGCTCATTTAACTGTAATTTTCGTAAGGTGCCAGCTTTGTCAAAACTAAAATTAAACATCGTAATGGCCCAATATGCCTTATGTTCTAATTCCACAGGTAAGTGACAAGCTTTTCCATACATCAATCTATGCGGAGACATGTCAATCGGGGTTTTGTAAGCAGTACGAAATGCCCATAACGCATCGATTAGTTGTAATGGCCAATCTTTACGATCAGGGTTAACCGTTTTTTTCCAAAATATAAGAAATTTTCCGATTAGCTAGCTCTGCTTGACCACTTGTCTATAGGTGATAAGGGGTTGCAACTTTATGTGTCACTCCATATTTTTTCATTATATTTTCAAAAGGTTTATTACAAAAGTACAATCCCCCATCACTGATAATGGCTCGAGGTATACCAAATCTGGAAATAATATTCTCTTTTAGAAATTTCAAAACAACTTTATGATCATTTGTCCAACATGGTATAGCTTCGACCCACTTAGAGACATAATCTACGCCTACTAAAATGTACATATATCCAAAAGATGGGGGGAAAGGTCCTATGAAATCTATGTCCCAACAGTTAAAAATTTATATTATCAAAATTGGATTTAGAGGCATCATATTTCTACGAGTTAATCCCCCTAGTCTTTGACATCGTTCGCACACCTTACAAAAATTATAGGCATCTTTAAAAATTGTTGGCCAATAAAATCCACACTGTAAAACCTTTGCAGCTGTCTTTTTCATAGAAAAGTGGCCTCCACATGCTCCCGAATGACAAAATGATAAAATGTTACTTACCTTATCATTGGGCACGCATCTCCGGATAATCTGATCTGAACAGTATTTGAAAAGATATGGGTCATCCCAAAAAAAATTCCTTACTTCAACTAGAAATTTCCTTTTATCCAAAGTAGTACAAGCCGGTGGCATATTACCTGTAACAAGAAAATTCACAATGTCAGCAAACCACGATGTTGAAGAAACTGTCAACAACTGTTCATCAGGGAAAGTGTCCTTAATCGGCACTGTCTCAATTAGCACATCACTCAGAAGTCTAGACAAGTGGTCTACAACTACATTTTCTACTTCTTTTTTATCTTTGATTGTTATGTCAAATTTTTGGAGTAAGATGATTCACCTAAACAGTCTTGGTTTAGCATCTTTTTTAGATAATAAATATTTAAGAGCTGCATGATCTGTGAAAATAACAATAGGAGATCCTATTAAATATAACCTAAACTTGTCTAAGGCAAATATTACTGCTAGTAATTCTTTTTCTGTAGTAGAATAGTTTATCTGTGCATTGTTTAAAGTTCTACTAGCATAGTAAATAACATGTGGTTTTTTCTCATTTCTCTGCCCTAAAACTGCCCCTACAGTATAATCACTAACATCACACATAATTTCAAAGGGAAGGCTCCAATTTGGAGGTTGCATAATTGGAGCAGTGATGAGCATGCCCTTCAGCTTATCAAAAGCCTCTTGACATAACTTATCCCACTCAAAAGGTGTGTCTTTCCCTAGGAGATAATAAAGTGGTCTAGATATAGAACTAAAATCTTTTATAAATCTCCTATAGAAACCAGCATGACCCAAGAAAGATCTAACATCCTTAAGAGTTTTAGGGGTAGGTAAATTAGCAATTAATTCAATTTTAGCTCTATCTACCTGAATTCCCTCAGAAGAGACAATGTGACTGAGAACAATTCCCTTTCTAACCATGAAGTGACATTTTTTCCAATTAAGCACAAGGTTCTTTTCTTCACATCGTATAAGCATTTTCTCAAGATTTGACAAACAGTCATTATAGGAATTGCCAAAAATAATAAAATCATCCATAAAAAATTCAAGAAAACGTTCAACCATATCACTAAAAATACTTAGCATGCACATNAACAATTCCCTTTCTAACCATGAAGTGACATTTTTTCCAATTAAGCACAAGGTTCTTTTCTTCACATCGTATAAGCATTTTCTCAAGATTTGACAAACAGTCATTATAGGAATTGCCAAAAACAATAAAATCATCCATAAAAAATTCAAGAAAACGTTCAACCATATCACTAAAAATACTTAGCATGCACATTTGAAAGGTCGCAGGTGCATTGCAAAGTCCAAAGGGCATCCTTTCGATATGCAAAAGTACCAAAAGGACAAGTAAATGTGGTATTCTCTTGGTCTTCTAAGGCAATTTCAATTTGGTTATATCCCGAATAACCATCTAAAAAACAATAGTACATATGTGATGTTACACTTTCTAAAATTTGATCCATAAAAGGTAAAGGGTAGTGATCTTTCCTAGTCACAGAATTTAATTTTCTGTAGTCAATGCACATCCTCCAACCAGTTATTGTCCTAGTTGGTACAAGTTCATTATTTTCATTAGCAACTACAGTGGCTCCAGATTTTCTAGGAACTATCTGTGTAAAACTTATCCATTTACTGTTTGTAATAGGGTAAATAATTCCTACATCTAACAATTTCAGCACCTCATTCCTTACAACCCTCTTTCATATGTGGATTTAGTCTTCGTTGCATCTCCCTAGATGTTTTACCATTATCCTCCAAATAAATCTTATGAGTGCAAACTAATGGACTAATTCTTTTTATATCAGCTAAAGTCCAACCAATTGCATTTTTATGTTCTCTAAGAAGTTGTAGTAACATACCTTCATGTGCTGAATTTAATTGAGAAGAAATTATTACCAAATATTTTTCATCATTTTGCAAGAATGCATACTTTAATTCTACCGGTAATTGCTTCAAATCCAACTTGGGAGCTTTATCACAAGATGGGATTGGTGGATTGATTCTTGGTGGAAGCTCCTCAAATTTCTGTTTCAATTCTCTCATTTCAAGTACCTGTGAGGAATTCAACAATTCAGTCAAAATAGAAATTTCATAATTATTCTCATTTATCTCTAACAAAGAAGAATATTCCAGCAAGCATGCCTCGAGTGGATCAAATAGAGAAGAATCATATACTCTACTTGGAACAAGAGACTCAATCATATTAACCTCATGTACATCCTCATAAACATTCTCTAGTTGTTTGCACACATTAAAAATATTGAGCTCTAATGTCCTATTCCCAAAAGTTAACTTCATCACACCATTCCTACAATTAATTAATGCATTTGAAGTTGCTAGAAATGGTCTGCCTAAAATAACAGGAATTTGTGCATTAGCATTTAATACAGGTTGAGTATCCAAAATTATAAAATTTACGAGAAAATAAAACTTATCAACCTGTACTAAAACGTCCTCCACCATACCCCTCGGTATTTTTACTGATCGGTCAGCTAATTGAAGTGTAGCCGAAGTGGGTTTTAACTCTCCTAACCCTAATTGTTCATATACTGAATAAGGGAGCAAGTTCACACTAGCTCCTAAATCCAATAAAGCCTGTTCAATTTTGTAGTTACCTATAACACAAGAAATAGTGAGGCAACCTGGGTCTTTATATTTTGGTGGAGTCCTATGTTGTATGATAGAAGATACCTGCTCAGTCAAAAATGTCTTCTTTTGCACATTTAATTTCCTTTTAACAGTACATAATTCTTTCAAAAATTTTGCATAAGAAGGTATTTGTTTAATGACATCCA